TGTACGTTGGCGGTGCCACTGCCTCTGGAGGAGGCTCGATGGCCGCCGCTGGAGCTGCTGCCGCTGCTGCCGCTGCTGGTGCAGCGGGCGCCTCCGCCTGGGCTGGTCCAGGAAGATCTGCTGCTGCCGCTGGTGCTGCAGGCGCGGCAGGTGGTGCCGCAGGTGCAGCTGGCGGTGGTGCTGCTGCTGCTGCTGGGTCCACTCCCGGCAAGGGCGGATGAAGCCCTGGCGGTGCTGCTGGCGCACCTCCGCCAGCATCTGGTACACCTCCAGGTGGTATACCCTGGCGGTGTGGAGCAAACCTGCATCCTGCCACACGTGTGTGTGGAGCCGTCGGCGTGTTGGTGCCGTCGGCCAGCTTCTTGTGTAAGCCGTGCTTGCACCTCTCGCAGTTCCAGAGGTGCGTGTAGAATAGCGAGGATTCGTCGCCATCCTTGACGACGCCCGTCCGCAGGTAGTCGTGCAAGTCGTGAACGGTGGCCGTGACCATCGGCCATGGATAGACAGCCGCCGCAGCTGTCTTGTTGATGCTGGTGCCTGGAAACGAGCCCTGCAGTACTGAGTGTTCGCTGCACTTCGAGTCGCCCTGACACTTGTGCAGGACGCGCTGCAGGGTGATGTTGATCATGTGCAGGAAGGTCGGCTTCTTGACTGGCACTCCAGTTGATGGATCTGATGCCCCAAGCTGACACTGATCGAGATGTCCGAACGTGCCCAGTTGAGCGATCGACTTCAATGGAGAACTTTTGGGAATAACCGAGCTCCTTGGATTCTCCAGAACACTGGCTCGTCCATCTCGATGTACCTTGCGAAGACGTTGAGCAACCCACTGCAAGTTGGGACACTCCGCTTGTCGAGACGCTTGGAGCTTCGTGGCCTCCTTCATGACTGTTGAAGCCGACCATGGTGAGCATCGTGGAGCCCAGAATTCTGCCAGACTGGCCAGGATCTTGTCGATCTTATCCAAGAGATCTCGATGCTTCTTCCTGCGAAGATCCCAGCCGTATCTGAAGTCCCGAGGAAAGCTGACAGTCAGGCCTGACATATATGCGCATAATGAGAGCCTGCCAGAGCCGCTCATGCTCTCCATGAGGTCCAGCTCTGGAATCAGCTTAGAAATCTGCTGACACCATTCTTCGGCATTGTCTGGAGTAATGACAATCAGGCCGCTGAAATAGTAGAACTCCTCGGGCATGCATGCGTAGTACTTCTCCAGCTGCTGCTTCTCCTTTTCGTCCACACCTTCTGGCCAGAGATCTTGAGAGTAGGTTTGACCAGGTGCACTCATCCAGCCAGAAGTGAGGGTCTGATTCTGGCACTGCTTCAGACGTTGAAAACCTTGACGATCTGGAGCAAACAATGCAGCTGCTGCCGGCGACAATTTTGCTTGATGGATGTCATGGTTCACCTGACTGCCTGATGATGTTAACTGCGTCGGAGGATCTTGAACGAGTCCGATACCTGTCCTTTTAGCCTCTTGTCGGCGTGGTGAGTCTCTAACGGCTGCTTCCACGCCTGAGGGTGGCGGACCTTCGATCTCCGACCTGTCGAGGTTGAATGCCCACTCGATGTTTGCCGATACTCCTCGTTGATACTTGTCAAACCAGTGGGCCTTCAGAACTTTCCAGAGATCTCGTTGTTCCTCGGCAATTTCCAGTGCAGTCTGCTCGAACCTGTCTGTTGGCAGAAGATAGTGATTCGAGTCGGCGTAGAGAATACGAACCAATGCCACTTGAGGAGGATCCTGCTTGTGATTGCCGGGAGCTGAAATAATCATGATGCCGTCTCGGTTGTCATAGACACCGCAAGCTACCAACGCACTGCAATCCACCATACTTGGTAACGGCATCAAACCAGGACATGATGAGCCCTCGTTGCCGATCAGGTCGGTCGAGAATGTAGCTCCTGGCAGCCCAGGAACTCCGAGAGGCATGGTGCACACGCGCAGTCCCGGTTCGGGTCTGCCTCCGACTCCTGTGAACATGGACGTCGAGGGGCCGAAGTGCACCTCGTTCATGATGCCCATCGGCTCGACGATCTTGTCCAGGTAGACGCGCAGCGTGTCGGTGCCCATCAGGGCTGAGGATGCTCCTGTATCCACTAGGAGTCCCAGCCTTTCCACACCTTGAACCACGTGCATGGTGCCGAACGTCTCGTTGCTCGCCGGGTAGTTGTACGCCATGTTGATCGTCGCCATCGTCATGAAGATCGACTTCTTGAGCAGCGGGCCTGCCACAGGTCGGGCTGCTCCTGATGCTGACGACGTGTCAGGCGTCGTTGCTGATTGCTCAGTGGGGAAATTGAAAACCGTAGTCTGCTCGGTGGGCGTAACAACTGCCGCATCCGCGTCGAACTTGGTGCCCAGCTGGACGGTCTGCTTGACTGGAAGCGTGATTTTCGGTCCAGCTGCAATCGATGCTGATGGTGAGCCCAGGGTAAAGAGTTCTGGCTTAGGAGCTGTCACGTCTCCATCGTATGTGGTCGTAATGCCATGAGTGAACCAACTGCTCTCTCCATCATATTCTTCATATTGCCATGATCAGTCGTCCTCGTAGTAGCTACTGCTCTTGCCGTTCCTCTTGCCCTTGCCGTTGCTGGTACTCCTCCACGGCTTGCCGAAACCTTTGCCACTTGAGCGGCCGTCCTTGCCGTTCTTGTTAGACTTGGACTTGCTGCGATACTTTCCTTTGTTGTTGCTGCGGTACTTGCCCTTCTTGCCGTAGTAGTCGCCTGTCTTGGAAGGTGAACTCGACGAAGACTTGACGATCGGGCAGTCTGCGCTCGAGTGCAGTGGAGAGCCGCAGGTCGTGCATCCGTCCGACGATGATGCTTTGCCTCCGCTCTTGCGGCCTCCTCGTCCTTTCTTGCCACCGCGGCCTCGGCCCTTGCCGCGGCCTTGGCCACCTCCGCCGTAGTAGTCCTCCTCGGTGTACTCCTCGTACTCCTCGTCATAGGTGCCGTGCTCCTCGTCGTGGCTGGTCTCCCAGTCCGTGCCGTCGTCGTACCACGCTCCGTCCTGCCATTCGTCCTCGCCGTAGCCGACCCACATCCACGATCCATCTGAAGCCCATGTCTCAGGAGAATCGTAGTCCGACTCCCAGTAGGTTCCTTCATCTGTCCAATACTGTGAGATCATGGCTGGAATCGAAGACGTCGTGCCTTGATACTCGTGATTTGCCATTCTCTGCATCAAGGCGATGAGCTCGGGGAAGCGATTGAGGTCTCCTTGAATCTGCATACGTAGGTCGGTACGCATCTTTTCTGATAAGCCTGACATCTGAAGCAGGAGGAAACTCTTGCCGACGTTATTGAGCTGCAGGCCTCCTTTGTCTGAGGCCTCCTCGAAGCACAGGCGAAACATCGTGAGGAAGTCGTTCATTGGAAGGTGGCCTCTGGTAAGTGAGAAGAAACTTGACAAAGCCACGATTGACATATCTTGATCTTGAACTTCAAACTCTTGAGCGAGAATGTCCATCAGGACCGAGGCTCCTGCTGGCTCAGCGGGGTGTTGAACGCCTTCAGAGTCTTGCCATTCGGGATGTGAAGGCTGAGCTAGCAATTCGTCTCCTTCCATCTCGCGTCGTTTTCCTGCATTGAGGTCCAGTCTGTCGCGCTTCATCTTCATAGCTATCTGGAACGCCGAACCTCTGAGACGTCCTGCCATCGCTGGACCTGCTGCATGCTCTGGCAGATCTGTCTGCCTCCACCACAGCCTGAGCAGCTGGATGTAGCGGCGCAGCGGGTACTTGCCGTTGCCTGGCCGCCATCCTGGTGGCGTGTTCTTGTTGAACGTGTCGAGTGGGATGCCGCCACCGCTGCCTGAGGTATCTCCATAATCCATGGCGAAGTGCGTCCACTTGCCGTGCCGGGTGTCCGTGATGAGGGTGAGTGAAACTGCAGCTGCAAAGACGTGTACGATGAGCTTGCTCGCGTACTTGTGCTGCTGCTGGGACATGTAGAGGTTCTCGTCGCAATCGACGCTGTGCCGGAACCAGTCGGCGAAGCTGAGGGCAGAGAGACGGCGAGTCTCAAAGGACCTGCCACCACATCAGCGCTACCAAAGTTAGTTTTCCAGCGTGAGCTGTCGAACCATGTATGGCTTGAGCCATAGCGTTTACGGATAGTCGAATAAACATTCAAACATATCTCAAACATCTCTGATGGTTCTGAAGCCTCTTACCCCGAACTCATACACAATCTAACTGGAGGAGGAGGAGGAGGAGGAGGAGGAGAAGGAGGAGGAAGAGGAGGAGGAGGAGGAGGAGGGGGAGGGGGAGGAGGAGGAAGAGGAGGAGGAAAATGAGGAGGGAGATGGGGGAGGAGGAAGAAACCGAGGAGGAGGAAGAAACGGAGGAGGAGGAAGAGGAGGTGCACTGGGAAGAGCAGGGCTACAGTCGCACCGATGTATAACATCGAGGTCGGTTCTCCCGTCGTGAGCAGAAGTCGCGATGGGAATTGTCCTTTTGTTTTCTTCGTTCTCTGGAGGCTCCTGATTCAGGCCCTGGGGCCGAGAACCGACACAGCTCAGGATCAAAAGCCGGCCCCTGGTAATGGGCCGAGACCTCTGGAAGTCCGCGCTGTGAGGGTCTCGAAGGTCACTCCGCCTCGCCGATGCATCGGCGATGCTGGCAAGGAGGCGGTAACATTGAAAAAACTTAGACCCCTCCCAATACGGGTAAGTACTCATTCTTTCGGCGGCCTCCATTGAAGGACTGGGGTCCCACCTGTGAAGGGCAACTCATTATTTGTGTTCCGCGGCACCCGCCGCGCAACAACGATGACGACAACTGCCCTCCACCTCCACCTCTACATTTCATACCTTCATACCGGCCGACCTCCGTGGAAGGTGCGGAAGAATCCACCAGATATCATGGAAACCTTCTACGCAGTCCAAAGAACTCCACATCGGTCATGTCGAAAATAAGGCGGAAGGTTAGGGCGGAAGCTCTGCAAGAAAGAGGGGAAGTGTAGGAGGAGGAGAGAAAAGGAGGAGGAGGAGGAGGAGGAGGAGGAGGAGGAGGAGCAGGAGGCTTTAGAACCAGTCCATTTCACCGCCCAGAGAGAAGGGCGGTGGGGCCCAGAACCAAAGACCTCTGGCAGTGGCTCTCGAAAGATTCCGGGCGCCTCGGCGACGGGGCGCGGACCTCCTGCCCCGTTCGCTGCACGGCCCCCCGCCTGGGAGGCCTGGGCGATCTCGCGTGCAGCTGGGCTGGCGGGCAGGCGCCGCGAAGCGGCCCTCCGGGCGCTGAGCCCAGACCTCCGACGCGATGGCTTCTCTGGGAATCTGGCCACTGCTCGCACGCCTAGCGCCTGTGCGCTGTCCGATGTCGTGTGCGCGCGCAGCTGTTCGCAAGGTGGCCCAAAATGCTCCTCGCTGGCCCTCGCCGAGGCCCAATGCCCACGTCCGAGCGATGCCGAGCAGTGCGTCCAGCAGCGGTCGTGAGGGCGGTTGGGGGCGTCGGGCAGGGCGGGGGCAGCGTCGGGCACGCGTTCGGGGGCGGGGGTGCGCTGCGAGCGCCAAAAGTATGCGCGCGGACGTCAGCACGCGGGGGGGGGGTCAGGCAGGGCTGGACCTAAACGTTGTTTTTCGTTTAATTATCGTTTTGTCGTTCACTTTGCTCTGCCTGTTTTCCTGTACCTCCCTGCCAAAACAAAAAACGAAACACAAAACACAGCCGAAGTCCAGCAAAACGGCGTTCGGGTCCAGCCCTGGGCTCCAGTCCTCCTCCCCCCCCGCCAAGTACGGCTGTCCCCGTTGCACGGGAAGAGGGGTTTGCCCAGGGAGCGGAAGGGGGGATTGCCCAGGTGCCCAGGGAGCGACTGTGACGCGCCAGAGGATAAACACAAACCAACATCGACGCGTCCTCCTTTGATCCAGCAGTGCGGGCCCATGGATTTCCCGACCCCTTCAACAGGGTTCTGTGCGGGCAAGATTCATACCCACATACACTGCGTCTTGGAGCTTCTGGGAAGGGGCGCGCCAGAAGGCCAGGGAGCATCGGACATGGATCAGCATCTGGCATCCAAGGGCCAGAATTGCTATCCATATCCGCTGCGCCTCTGGATTTCCTGGAAAAAGGGAGCCCGAGAACTCCAGGAAGCAGTGGATATGGATACACATCTGGCCTCTCGAAGGCCAACTTTCTGATCCAGATGCACTGCGCCTCTGGCTTCCGGGCAAAGGGAGCCCGAGGACTCCAAGCAAGACGCAGCGGATGTGGATACACATGCTGCCCGCATGCTGTCCTGCGCCCCGCCTGTGAGGTCCGGCCCCTTTCCGCAGCCCCCCCCGGGGCCGACAGGCGGCGAGCAGCCTCTGACGTGGCCCTCCCCGAAACGACGTCGGAAGCCTGGGACTCCTGGGCGTGCTGCCTCCTGGAAGGGCGATCGCTGGAGCCGGGGGAGCCGTGCAGCTCTCTTCCCCAGCAAGTCCATAGGGTTCGCAAACACAAAAATCGAAACCCTCGCGACACCCTGCGAAACCGCTCCGGGACAGGTTCCGGCCGGAGGGGCAGGATTTTCGGAGGTTTCGGGAGGGTGTTGAAAAGGCTTTCCTCGCTCTGGGAGGAACCCGGTCCCTAGCGAACCCTGGGCTTTCGAACCCCAGGGGGCCCCCGAGGGCCCCTTCGAAGGCAGGAAGGGTGCACCTCGCCTCCCCCAATCCCCCATTGATCGCCCCCCCTCATTGCGCAACCCCCGAGGCTTCAAATGGCTCAGACGGGCGGGACCACGATGTCCGCGGAGCTGGTGGCCTTCTGCGGCTCCTGGGGAGATCAAAAAGTACCGACACCGCTGCTCCCCTCGGGACCCCTCCTGGGGTGCGTTCCGACCAGAATTCCGAAACAAATCCAGCGGTGGCGACGCGGACCTCCCAGTGGGGCACCAAAAAAGGGGAAAACGGCGCAGGGTAGAGGTAGGCGCATCACAAGGATGCGCGGTGAGGATGTAAGGGCCTTGGAAGGCCACGCCGAAGCTCTTCGAGCGGGGCGCGGCCAACGAAAGCGGCCAAGGAGGGGTCGAGGAGGTGAGGATGCAAGGGCACCCTTGGGAGGATGCAAGGGCACCCTTGCAAGGGCCCATCCTCACTATGCGCGTTGACTGCGGGCAATGTCTATATCCACATCCAGTGCGGCTTGGGTTTTCGGGCTCTCTTCCCCAGGAACATGAGGCGCACTGGATATGGATGAAAGCCTGGCCCCCAAAGGCTAGATTTCTATCCATATCCAGTGCGCCTTGGCCTTGCGGCGCCCCTTCCAAGAAAGTCCAAGACGCACTGGATATGGATCTGAGTATTGCCCGCATTGACTGCACCTTTTCCTCCTCGGAGCTCCACGCAGCAGAAGAGGTGACACCGCCTCGGCGGCGCCGTCCTCGCCAGGGGGGGGCCCACCGGGCGGCCCACCGGAGGATATGCGGCGGAATGTCCGCCGCGCTGCCTCTCGCTCCGCCCTCCCCCGCCCCGCTGCCTCTCGCTCCGCTGCCCCGACAGCCTGGGGCCGGTAGACGTAAAGTTAGGTCGGGTATGCCCCCCTACAGGCGGATTTTGGACGAAAAATAAAACATGCTCAAAAAATGCTCGGAAATATTCAAACATACTAAAAAAACGTCCCCCGACCAGCTGTTGCCCGTTTTTGAATATCCCTCCTGTAGAAGGACATGCCCGACTTAAACGCACTTGGAAGAGCAGAGTAGGACGAAGCCAGGACGAGGATAGAATCGGGGGGGAAGAATCGAGTCTCTGGGAGCCAGCGGCTCTGGAGGATGTTTCGGGCGCCGCGGCCTGCTCAGAACGTTCCCCGGACCGCCCTGAGAGAGCCACAGAACGCTCTGGAACGGCTTTGTTCTCGTCCTAGCCTCGTCCGAGATTAGGGCAAATCCGTTCAACATCGGTTTCTGAACCTCTCCGGGCGCCCATCGGGTGCAGATTTCCGTCCCGGACCTGTGTTTGACAGTCCGGGTCCCGAGAACGGCCCCTGGAGGCCCCAAAAAGGCAAAAAAAAAAAAAAAAAAAAAAAATCGGGCTCCCACCCAAACCCAAAACCCAAAACCTCGCACCTCGCCCCAACCCCGCCCGACACGCGCACCCTGCAGAAGGCGGGCGCCGGGCCCAGAATGTGCCGGTGCTCACTGGGGCTGCCGCCCGGCGTCCTCGGGCGGGGATGGCCCGGCGCGCCATGCGTTCTTGCCCCTGCTCTGCATGCCGACCTGGCCTGCGAAGGTCTGTCGGGCTCGCTCGCTGCACCCCTCCCCCCCCTGGAGGCCTCCCAGATGGGGTCGACGCCGATGCATCGCCGATGCGTTGGCGATGCGGTGCGATCCCCCGACCCCATCTATCCTCAGGTGGGGCGTGTCCCCCTACAGTTGGATTGTGGACGAAACGTGAAAAATAGTCAAAAATAATCTGAACATTAACAATACTGGTAACAAAGAAACGTCACCAAATTCTGTTTATATAGCAAAACAGTATTTTTGAATGTTTCTCCTGTAGAGGGACAGGCCCGACTTAAATATATTCGAACCCATCTTGTGAGGCGCAGAAGGATGGCCCTGGCCAGACATGGTGGTCGCGTATGTAGAGCACCGTGGCGTCCGACGTCATGCGCATCGCAAGGGCCCACGACCGGATCCCTCTAGAAAGCGCCTTCCTGGGGCATGCTCCAGGGTCCTGGAACCAGGGGAACACACTCACTGCTCATTGCACCGACCTTGCAGACGTGCTGCAAAGAATTTTTGCGCGAATTTCTGCCAATATAAAACCCCGAAGCGGCGGGCGAAAAATGGCGAGAATTTCACGCGGATGGTTTAGGTCAAAAAAAGGCACGAAATTAACATTCAAATCCGGAGCGGAATTCTCCAGGACAATCTGGGTCCATCCTACTGTTTTCCGAACGAATCTGCTCTACGATGTTGGCGCCATGACACTGCGAACAAATACTTGTCGCGCCAGGATTTCACAACGCAAGTGCCTCCTGCGCACAGGTGGGCATTACACAAACATGGCGAGAGAGAAGGGGCCGACGGAACGGCGGAGAGGAGCGGTAACTTCTCAAGCAGGGGCGCGGCACGGCGACGGGGTGCCGTGCCTGACCAAGGCAGGCGGGGTCCCGTTGTGGACCCGCGAGCGCCGACTTTTGGGTTCTGTATTATTTTTTTGACAAGCCAAAAAACTGGGCCGATTTCGCCCCCTCCCGCAGGGCAGAAGAACCACCCCAATCATAAACATCCCTGCAAGAAAAGCCCCGTAGTAAACGCACCCGTGGGAGGAATCGAACAGGGGTAAAGCTGTTCAGTGAACACTTGGAGCTGTCAGTGAACACAAGTTATGGAGGTCGGGGTGGTGATTCATCCCTTGACGTGACGTCCTCCTCATCGCCCCCTAACCCCGCACGTCTGTCTGGACCCCATGACCCTGGTTGTGGATCGCGCTCTTGGCTGCAGTTCGAGTGTCTCGGACTCAGGAAGGCCGAACGGTGCTACAACATCCCATGCCTGGCCGAAGAAGGGTCCCGCGACACAGGTTCACGCTGCCGCTGTTGAGTTCCCGCTGTGGATTCATACATGTTGCCGATCCGCCCGTATTGGTGCCATGTGTTGTCCCCCGAAGTGCCCCCCAGCAGCTCCACTGTCCTTGACTCAAGCAGCAACGGCCCCTGCCCCAAACTCCACTCCTCAACATTCATTCGCGCAGAGCGCTCACGATCAAAACGTCATAGCAGCATTCGTCAAAAATCGTGCTGTCGCAACACACTTCCTGTGATTACTGTGCGGCTCGTGTGCTCGCCGCTCAAGCATCGAACCTGAACCAGAAGAACAATCCGCAAGAACACGAGACCGTCAACCGGCCAAAACGGACAGGACATCCAAGGGTACCCTCCCCACGGTGCACACGAACGTCCAACGAGCACGACGAGCATGAGGGTACCCTCACCGAGCCGACATCGACCTCATACCTCGGTCCGACTGAATTCTGTTCGCTCGTCAGGACAAACCGCCCGTCAGGACCGCCAGGTCGCTCGGCTGCTGCCCCGCCGGCGCGCCTTCCTTGGCCCCGCCCGCCCGAATAGCCCCGTTGGGGTCCCTTCGCCCCCCCGGCGATGTCACTCCCCGCCCGCCCGGCCTTCGCGTTGCAGTGGGCCCGTTCGCTTGCCTGGGGGCCAGCCCGCTTCAAAACTCCGCTCGCCCGACCCACCCATTGCGGCCCGCCCACTTGAATGTCCTGCCCCGCTTGCCTGGGGGCCCGCCCGTCACGGCTTCGGGCATCCATGCTGAATGACGCGCGAAGAAAGGAAAGCGCACGATACCATCGCCCCCATAGTGGCTGATCAAAACACAAGAGAGCGGAGGCCCGCCGCTAGACATTACGCACAACGAACCTGCTGCAGGCGCCATGTATTCCTCAAAGCAATGTGGCTGGATCGCGGGTAGGTCGCGGGCGGGTCGCGGGTGTGTCGCGGGCGGGTCGCGGGCGAGGGCGACGACTAAAATCATCGCGCAACAATAATTTTCACCGCGAAGCGCTTGCTCCTAATATTGTCGCAGTCACGTCCTGAGACCCGCAAGCGAGTCAGCCACGATCCAGCCGCGACCCGCCCCGCCCACTAACCCCCTAGCGGCCCACCGCGCGGTGGGTCCGAACCAGCCACACATCGGGGAATAGCGCGGGGCCACTGCTCATCTGGCAACATCCGAATGATCACCCAACAACAAGTGCCAAATCCACGTTGGTCTTCGCATGCCCATGCCCAGGCGCCGGCCTTGGTGGAAGGAATCTACGGGAAGTGCATGGAGTTAGCAGGAGAAGTGACAACGACTATTCTGGTCCTTCGAACTTTCTGGAGGTACTGGGCTGTCAACACAGGGTCCAAACGGTGGCACACTACCAACTACAGTGACTCTCAAACATATCCCTTGAATTCCTGATGCCTCTGTAACCCTGAAGTGTTCCCGCTGCCCCAGCTGGCCTCTGGCGGACAAGCAGGCAACCGAAAAGAATCACAACCTGGATGCTGCCATGGTTTCCGTCCCCGCATTGTGCCGGCGGGAAACCCGCGCTAAGCTTAACCAGGCCCCTTATGTTTGCCGGCCCGCTGTTTTACAAAGGTGGCGAAAATCCACGGTGACCGCCAGATGGGCCTGGCAAAACAAATTCTGTCGGCCCGACACCAGTGGCATCAGCGGAACGCTTGGGGTACGTATCAACGACGACGAGTCCAGCGCCGAACTTGACCCAACGACGCAGCGAGCGGCACTCCAACTTGACGATGCTTGCGAGATTCATGCGACGCCATTCGCCCCGGTATGTGCACCCTTGCCCCCTGCCCTCGTCGTCCTGGTCGCTCTCGTGTCTGTCCACCCCATTCCCCAACAAGCCTTGCAGACCTGCGGCGTGCTTGACCAGTCCACGATCAGCCGACGCTCGATTACAGAAAACATAAAGCGAAAGGAGCCGCCCCCCTCCTGCTGCCCTTCCCTCCCCCCCCGCTTCCTTCCTCCTTATCATCATCCCTGTTCCCCTTCCTGGCCGCTTCACGCATCTCACTTCTCTGGAATTGCTCATCCCACATCCCACTCCTCCCTTTTCCTTCCGAGCTAGTAACACAGTTTGGAACTAAGCCTCCTCGCACCAGCCTGGCGATGTCACCGCGATCCTCGATATAGTAACGGTTTGATACCCATACTGTGGCCCCATACATGATATCTAAAGTAGCACGATAGCACCGATTTTAGCTGGATTGGACCCAAGGCAGTCCACACAAAACACCATCGGCGGCGGGCTCATTGTGATGAGACACAATAATCGGCCAATTGGACTTGGTGTTTTGGAGCCCTGCGACAAGCCAGAGGCCCATTCCACGACTCACCCGGAAGTCTCCGCGCCGAATCACTCGAATTCACAAGGCTCGGCTTTACTGATGCAACCGGCGGTTGCTCAAATGCGAGATGGCTCGAGAATGCACGGAACAACTGAACATCCCGGCGTCAAGCCGCAGCCCCTCCCCCGAATTGTCTGAGTGGGTCACACCCTTCGCTCGTGCTGCGATCTGTTTCGCAAAAAAGAAAACCGCCAGACCTCTCCTGGAGCCCAATCTGACCAGGATGTCGAGGCGGACCCAGGCGTGGCGGCGAGGGCGACACCACGAGGTCCAGAAGCATCAGGCGAAGTCCACACACCTCGTTCCATCTCCTCCTCTTAGACCTTCGACTGACGACGATGATGCTCACGACCTCTGCTGCGGTGCTTCCTGGTCAAGATTTCAAGCCGGATGCAATGGTGGCGATGACAGCGCCCCCCTGAAGCCAAGGCACACCCCTTACCTGAAATCCTAATATCCTCCACTCTTTCTCCTTATAGCCCTAGACGGCACAACGCCGACCGCCGGACCTCTCCTGGGGCGATTTCAGCCAGGATTTCGGGTCGGATCCAGCCAGGGCCCTCAGGCCAACCAGGGTCCAAAAGCATGCAAACGTCTCGCCCATAGACACTCCTCCCCTCTTCTTCCTCGGCCCTCGGCAACGACGACGACGCCGACACCGACGACGCCGCCGAAACCGACGACGACGACAACGACGACGACGACAACAACAACGACAAGCGGCGACGACGACGGCGGCCGCAACGTATCGACCGCAGCCGTGACGCGATTGCGTCGACGACGGCGGCTGCAGTGGTATGGCAGCGACCGCGTCCGTACCGCGAATGCGTCGGCGGCGGCGGCCGCGGCATCGTAGCGACCGCGCCGTTGCGCCGGCTGCGTCGCCGGCGACGTCCGCATCGTAGCGATCGCGGCCGTGCCGCGGTGCCTCGACGGCGGCGGTGGCATCGTAGCGACCGCTTCCGTGCCGCGGCGGCGTCGGCGGCGGCGGCGGCGACCGAATCGCGGCCGTGCCCCCGCGAGCTCGGTCCTTGCCGCCGCGCTGTCGACGCAACACGCCGCCTCCGGGGCCGCCACCTCGGCTGCGGGAGGGAGAGGCGGAAGGCCGCAAAACAGCACCGAAACTCAACCAAGAAAAACCGGCCGGGCAATGTCTATATCCACATCAAGTGCGTCTTGGAGTTTCGGGCTCTCTTCCCCAGAAACATGAGACGCACTGGATATGGATGAAAATCTGGCCCCAAGAGGCTCGAATTTTATTCATATCCAGTGCGCCTCGGCCTTGCGGCGCCCCTTCCAAGAAAATCCAAGACGCACTGGATATCGATATAAGTATTGCCCGCAGGGATGAACCCGGCAAGCTGAACTGGGCCAGTCCGAAGTCGGGCAAGCCGAATTCGGCCCAGGCCGAGTTCGGCCCATGCCGGGTTCAGCCTGGCCGATGATCAGCTGGACGAGTTCAGCCCGTCCGAGTTTCGCCTGGCCGAGTATTTCCCCTGTCGGCCCGAGGAGAAGGGAGCCCTGATGTGGGACTGCGATTGAGAAAACCGCAGGGAACGCTTCAAACCATATGCTGGGGTCAAAACGTTGGCATCTCTTGGGGGCGCATGCTTTACATCCGCCGCGCCGCACTTCGCCGGCCTTCCGCCGCCGTCCGCCGAGGAAGGGATGCAAGCTCCTTCGATGCTCGGGGCCCTTCCTAGAGCTGGGGAAGAACAGTTCGGGTCCCCTCCTGCAGTTACAAAGCTGGGGGAAGAACAGTTCGGGTCCAGGAGGTGCGCACTACTCCTCAGGTCCCTTACTAGTCGTTTCAATATAAAGCTTCTCGGCGCTACGGGCGAGCAGTTGTGCTCGGACACCCCCAACGACAGCAGACTCCGCAAGCGAGCGCACGAGAAGTAGTGCGAAACAGGCGGACAGGTAGGGGCAGAAGTGCGGGCATCTATAAAAATAACGAGGAGGAGAGAAGGCTCAACACCTCGAGGGCGCGTGCGCTACCTGCTGGAGACAACAAGTCGCACCGGGATGGGGAGAGGAGGAGGAGGAGACAAGCTGTGTGGGGCCCCAGCGCTGCCCCCGCGGGCGGCCAGGTTGCTGCTGCGGGGGGCCGCGCGCGCCGGCGGCAGCGAGGCCGATTGGCGCGCGGCGGTTCCCCGCCCCCCGGCCCGCCGGACTAACCAATCGTAATCAATTCTCGCCCTCTCCGGTGGTTGCGGTGTTCCCCCCGCCTCCCCCTCCCCCTCCTCCTCCTCCTCCTCCTCCTCTGTGTCCGCCTGTGCCACTGGGCTGGACGGTCAAAAGTGTGGTCCTGAACGCGTGTGGCCCTAAGCGTGCGGCAGTGCGAATAAAGCAGAAAAACGCAGACCCACGCACAAGCGGCAGAAACGCGAAAAGGGCAAGTGGCGCCGAGAGACGCACGAGGAGGGAGCAACGCGGAAGGGGCCTCAGACCAAGGCACTCAAATCCACCGACACGTCGGCGCGTGGAAAGACGCTGTTCTGTTTGGCCACGGACAACACGAGCCACCCACCCGCCCCCTGATTTCCTATCTAAGTGTTCAGCTCGCTGCGCCATGCCTCAACCCAATGCCACAGGCGCAGTCGTGCCAGAATGCTAAGTGGCTCAGCCCTAGCCCAGCCCTGTCTGCTGGAAGCGGCCCATGCCTGTCCTGTACATCTGCATCTGTGGCTGCATCTGTGAATCCAGATGTGGCTGAATCTGTGGCTGCATTCCTTGCTGATCATAGTTGGCCATCTCTACCCCGCCGAAGGCCCCCATCTCCACCGCGAACTTCGCCTGCTCGCGCGCCTCCTCTACCAGGTCTTCCTGGCTGCTTCTGCTACCAAGCACGGAGGTAAGTATCGCGACAAGCTGAAGGGAACACGAGACCCAGGTGAGAACGTAACCATGGCCTGCCCCCGCGATAGGGGGCGGCCAGCGTAGCGGCAAGACTGTATTGAGCCTGACGCCATTTAGGTATTGCGTGACAGTTGCACGATACATGGTGAGAGCCAGAAGCAAGAAGAATATGCCTAGGGACTGCAAGATAGTCGACATGCTTCTGTATTTCTTTCGCATCGGCGAACACATGTCGTAACAGAGCATGTACACGGCCGAGCCTCGCAGCATGATATTCACATGAAGATGAGGACGACGAGCATGAGTACGCATGGTAGAAACCATCGCAAAGGTTGTCAACCACCGTTGAGATTGCGGGAGTGCACGAGAGCTGTGCGAAGTCCTCGAGGGTGGGGTCCCCCTCGAAAAAGCGGCATACAGGCTGCGGGCTGCGGCATTGGCGAGACGCAATCGACCGACACAGTGAGAGCGCGCGTCTGCACTTCGAATGCCGGCATGATGCTCAGGACAAGAATCAGCGAGTACAAGGGCAAACGCAGAGCTACGAGACCGACGGAAGTGGACATGCCAGTGAGGCCGATCTCGGCCACGACGAGCTGGATTCGCAGCAGGCTTTTGCCCATCCTGTGCAGCAGGATTCGAACGGTATGCGCGCGCGTAGCGGGGGGCAGCAGAAGGTGCGGGACGCCTCGCAGCGGCGCCCTCTTGAGCCGCGCTTGAGCCCAAATGGCTACGGAGAGGAGGAGGAGGAGGACGACAAGGAAAGAGCAACACACCACGGAGCAGCATCAAATCGATGAAGTGCCAGTACGCCCGAAAATGACCTGCTGTCTGTCGCAGGCGTCGACCAGCACTTACCTGGGGTCCTGGCTATGAACGAAAAAACTGCACGCGTCCGAGCGACACCGAGCCCGTGGTCGCAGCCGCCGGTCCCACCTCCTCCAGCGGAGAAGCTGCGGCCCCGGCGGCCGCCGCGAGGGCGCGCGCGCGCAGCAGCTCCTGGGCAGGAGCAGACGTGCTCAAAGGGGCCCAGGGACACAGGAGTAAACACGCACAAATCCCAGGATTCCCAACATTCTCCTATATTTTCGGGGCTTGCGTCTCCCCCCCCTTCCCATATCTTCGCACATTTTCCTGGGAATCGGTGACGGGTGTCTGTGTTTTTCCCTCTCCTGACAAACGTGCCGGGGTGAAGCGCAGGGTCACGCGGTGGGCGTGGCCGATTCCTCGGCGTGGTGATGCCAACGATAAGGTTCTTAGCCGTGTAGCGCACGGCGGGACGCCAAGCTTACAAAGAGCAAGTCTAGCTCTGATCTGGTTGATATGGTGGTCTGGTTTGAGCTTCGTCTTGCAGCCTCAGTTTAGGATCTGGGCGAGAGTGGTTTACGGGAGGTCTGGCGAGGCAGCGCAAACCACCACCACCACGACTGAAATGCAGATGTTTGTTTCATGTCAATGTTGTTTTGCTTTGCAGCTGTTTCTGCATTGCAGTTGTTTTGCATCTGGTCTGGTTGGTCTAGTTTGTTTGTTTTGAGCTTCGTCTTGCAACCTTAGCCTAAGATCCGGGCGAGAATGGTTTGGGGAGGTCCGGCGAGGCAGCGCAAACCACCACGACGACCGAAATGCATTGTTTCGCGTTTCGTTTATTTTGCTTTGAAGATTTGTTGCACTGCAGTTTTTTTGCATCTGGTCTGGCTGGTCTGGTTGGTCTGTTTTGCGTTTCGTCTTGCAGCCTTAGCTTTGGATCTGGGCGAAAATGATCTAGGGGGCACCCGGCGAGGCAGCGCCGACCACCACGACGACCGAAATGCATGTGTTTGCTGCAGTGCATTTTTTTGGCATCTGGTCTGGCTGGTCTGGTGGGTCTGGTTTGAGCTTCGTTTTGCAGCCTCACCTTAGGATCCCGGCGAGTGGTTTAGGGGAGGTCCGGCGAGGCAGCGCCAACCACAACCACGACCGAAATGCGAAATGCAGTTGCTACTGCGATGCAGTATTTCTGTTGTTTTGTTTTTTTCCCGACCATCCTTGGTTGAGTATTCGTTTTGAATAGATCACTGCGGTCGCGTCCTCCTCCAACCTCCCGACTCCTGTCTCCTGCGAAACCTCGCCGTCCCTGGGGGGGGTGCTGCGATCTGCGAAACTGTCGCCACTTTCGAGGGCTGCTAGTGGGTCCAGCGGAGTGAAGCACGGTGCAGATCTGAGCAACACCTCGCCGTCCCTGGGGGGGGGGCTGCGATCTGCGAAACTGTCGCCGCTTTCGAGGGCTGCTGGTGGGTCCAGCGGAGTGAGGCACGGTGCAGATCTGAGCGAGACCTCGCCGTCCCTGGGGGGGGGCTGCGATCTGCGAAACCGTTGCCATTCTCGAGGGCTGCTGGTGGGTCCAGCGGAGTGAGGCACGGCGCAGATCTGGGCGGGTGAATTGTGAGTCGAGCGTGTAAATTGCAAGGAAGTATCGAGCGGGAGCCGCTGTCGTCGCAGCTGGGCCTTCGAGGGCCCACATGTAGACCCAAGCCAAAGCTCAAACGGGAGCCTCGCTTCCAGAGAACATATAGCCGGCGTCGGGGCGAGAGCGCGCGGAACCGCTTCCGGAGATCAGCAATACTTGCTATCTAGAAGTGGGTGTGCAATAACTACAGCCATAACAACAATAACAACAACAGCAACAACCACAATCATGTTAAGACTGTTCGCTCTGATCTGCCCGAGTGTCCATTAACGCGTATTTCCCAAACCCTCGATACACGCCCTCTTCGTCTTCGATCGTACCCCTTTTGGGGGGCATACCTTTCTTCCCTGCAGGCCGGGCCCTGGCAAGCGGCGGGGCGGCCGCGGACCGTTGGCCTGGCCACGGCATCGCTGATCGGCGGCAACCTGACCCCAAGATGGACGGTCAGGGGACCGACCTCGACGACGACGACGACGACGTCGACGAATTCGACGTGGACGAATTCGACGACGACGACGACGACGACGACGGCGACGACGACGACGAGCGAGAGAACGACAGCAGGGCCACGAAGGGCACGAAGTAGGCCACGAAGGGCGACAGCGGGGACACGAAGGGCAGCGAGGGGGCCACGAAGAGCACGAACGAGCGGGGGCCACGAAGGGCAGATAATGCGGGGCCACAAAAGGCAACGACGGGGCCACTGAGGGTAGCAACTGGGCCACCTAGGACAGCGAGGGGGCCACGAAGGGCGACAGCGGGGCCACGAAAGGCATGCACATGGGGCCACGACGGGCGCGAACGAGCGGGGGCCACGAAGGGCTATATTGGGCCGCGGAAGGCAAGGACGGGGCCACTGAGGGCAGCAACGGGGCCACGAAGGGCAGCGAGGTGGCCACGACGGGCTGCAACGAGGCCACGAATGGCAGCGAGGGGGCCACGAAGGGCTGCAACGGGGCCACGAAGGGCAGCGAGGGGGCCACAAAGGGCTGCAACGGGGCCACGAAGCGCAGCGAGGGGGCCACGAAGGGCAGCAACGGGGCCACGAAGGGCAGCGAGGGGGCCACGAAGGGCAAAGGGGCTACGAAGGGCAGCGAGGGGGCCACGAAGGGCTGCAACGGGGCCACGACGGGCAGCGAGGGGGCCACGAAGGGCTGCAATGGAACCACGAAGGGCAGCGAGGGGGCCACGAAGGGCTGCAACGGGTCCACGAAAGGCAGCGAGGGGACCACGAAGGGCTGCTACGGGGCCACGAAGGGCAGCGAGATCCCGATTCCGAAATAATCTGTGAGGGAGTCCTAAGCGTGAGCGCGACTCCTGGGTGCCTGAGTGTCGGGGGCGCGGCGCTTAAGTAAATTGCTTGAAATTCAATTGCAAGGGCGCTATTCCTGAGTAAATTGCAAGCAAGTCTCCAGCGAGAGCGCGACTCCAGAGCGCCGAGAGAGCGATTCCTGAATAAAATGTAAGGAAGTCCCAAGCGAGAGTGAGATTCCGGAATAAAATGCGAGGCTCTCAGGCGGGAGCGGGGGTCCGGGCTAAAATGTGAGGAAGTCTCAGGCGGGAGCCATTGTGAGCCTCAAGGCTTTCCCTGATAAAAAAACAGGGTGCGAGCCCCGGGAAAGGCATTGCAATGGAAAAACATAATGTGCACTGGTGGGGTGATCAACAATACTTATTCTTCAAAAATGAGAGTTCAAGAACAACAGCAACAACAACAACAACCGCAGCGGCAGCAGCAGCAACCGCAACAGCAGCAGCAGCAGCAACAACAATAACAGCAGCAGCAGCCGCCGCAGCAACAACCATAACACAAACAACAACACCGACAACAACAAGACCAACACCAACAACACCAGCAACACCAACAACAACATCAGCAGCAATAACAACAGCATCAAACAACATCAAACAGCAACAACTACAACCAACCACAACAACAACAACAAAAACAACAACAACAACAGCGACAACAACACCAACAACAACAGCAACAACACCACCACCACCACCAGCAGCAGCAACAACGACAACAACAACAACACCAACAACAACAGCAGCAACAGCAACAGCAACAGCAACAGCAGCAGCAACAACAACAACAACGACATCCACAACCACAACCACAACAACAGCAACAACAACAAAAACACCACCAACAACTTTAACAACAACGCCACAACCAACACCACAACCACCACCACCGCCACCACCACCACCGCGACCACCACCACCACCAACAACTACAACAATGTAAACAACAAAAACGACAACGACAGCAACAACCACAAGCTGCGTCGTGATTTTATTCACGGCGGGAGGGGGTCTGGGAACGGTGCCCCTGTCGTGGCGACAACGTGCTCGGGGACCACCTCACTTGGAGGCAATCTCTCTTGATAATCCTGGCAATTTGGTTTCCTCGGATGGACCCTGAGATCCTGGCGTCTCCTTTTTTTCCATCGGGCGTCTTCGCCAGGATGCGGATCCTCGGACCATCGCAGGCCGATCTGGCCCGACAAATACCGCAAACATATAAGATCTTAAACTCCAGTCATGATTTGTAACCTTGTCACCATGTTTCGACTTTGTCGCGACGTCGGATCTCAGGGGGAGCGCGGCGAGGCCCGAAGAGGAAATCTGAACTTCACGCATGTCGGCCCGGCGTGGTTTGAAAAAGCGAAGGAGGTGGGGGGGATGCAGGAGAGCCCAGAATCGAATCGATAAGTCGGATCGGCAATCGAAATGAATCGGATCGGAAAGCGGCAGCCGAGTCGGGAAAAGTCGACTCGGCAGAAATCGGCAAGCTAGTAGGACTTCGATAAAGAGTCGAGAATCCCAAGTCGAATCGAATCGGAATCGGAGGCCATCGAAGTCGAATCGAAAGATTCCAAAACGAGCCCCGGGATGCCGTGCGGGCCAACTTGCCGGAGTCGAGGTCGGCGCCGGGCGAGTCGAGACGACGGCAGCTCCACCTCGGTCCTGCAGGACCCCATCCCAGGCTCCGGACGCACTCCTCGTCTTCCGATTCCGAGCTGCGCCCGGCCGTGGCGACGAGGAATGGGCCCCCCCAAAGGCCACAGGAACGACGATCAAAAACGGGGTTTCCGCGAGATGACATAGCGACGGTACGCGGTCGCTTACGCAGGCCGCCCGAGCGGCACGCCACATTGGAGACGAGGG